TTTAAAGAGGTATAGCACTTAAATGATAAATACGAAAATACGTTGACGTTAAGAGATGGTACGATAATAACAGAAGAGAGTATGATGAAAATTGAGTAAAGAACAAGGGAGAATATTGCAGTCGGGCGCAAGCGAATTTCGGGAGATAAAGACTTCTGAGAAGTTTAGCATACCAAATTATCTATCCATTCTTCGAAGGATGTTCCAAATAATCTACCTCCCAAGTTTTGGGGACGTCAAATATTTATTTTCCGCTTTCTGAAGTGTTTTAATAGTGTCAAATTTAGTGTTTTTAACTTTTTGTACCTTCCGAATCAGAGTATAAAAGTACGTTACTAATGTTTGAAAGAATGAGGCATGGTTACTGTATTAATCACAAGCGGAACCATCTGTGCTCGCCAATCCATTGAGATGATAACCACACAATAACTGGCTGTTTCTGCCTGTCTGGCTGATTGGCTGCCCAATTGTCGCTTCCGAGTTTCAATGGCGAGCAAATAAATATATATGCATATCCGTGAAACAAGAGGGATTCAACTTGGACCACTGGAAACAACCTCAATCGCAGATAGATATGTGTTTGTCTTTGGGCACACATATGTCTTCGTGTGTGTGTCTGTGTGAGTGTGAGTGTGTGAGTGTGTGCGCGTGTGTGAGTAATTGAAATCGCATCGAGACGTGAAATGAAACGTAAAGTCATCGAATCAATTGAAATGAAAATTAAATTAAATGTATGCGCTCATACATTTATTCATACCCGCTTGTACCAGCGCACCTACCTCAATGTAGTCAAACACACTCGTAGTCGCATTCACAGCGCCATTCACATTCGCACACATCAACTCAATCTTAATTAAACACAGACACGCACATTGAGCTCCTTGAACGGAAAAAGCAATCGTGTGACTGTGACTCAAAGCACTGAGCGTGGTAGACGATGACTGCGGGGGAGCATCTTGAAGGGGAGAGTCGATTGCTTTTCAGCAGTATATTTTTATAAGGTCTCTGTATTTGAAATTGTTTTTATTTCTTGACAAGTGAAAAACTTTTCTAACACCATTTGATATTTATTAAATTGAAGATCACTCTGAAAATAATAAAAGTTGTAATAAGAAATGAGTATATTGTTAATGAGTACACAAATTAGGCAATACTTAATTTGCTTACATATTAAGACCAGCATAATTTCAATTAAGGTTTTTCTTATATAGTTTGGATAATTGTGAAAGAAAATACTGATTTACTATGGTCTGCAAGGCAAGCCCAAGATAACCTTCCTTTATTGATTAAGATAGGCGTAGACATATGTATCACTTAAAACTCATATTTCGACCGATTGTTCCTCTGACACCTATATGATATCCAATCCGGTGTCGTTCGACCTATATACAGATTTCAGCAAAAAGATAAATATATAAAAAATTGCATCAAGAATATATATACTGTAAGCGGTCGGAGAAGAGTCCATAAATGCGTTGCAAATTTCAAAGCAAAATAAAATTATATAAAACCTGTTTTACGTAAGCTAATAAAATTAAAAACATTATTATCCCAAATTCAAAGCCCTAATGTCATTTTATTGGTTTATTCCAAACCCTTTATATGATTTGATATTTTACCAGTATGTGTTTGAGTATTTGTGGTCGTGCTACATGAAATATGCCTATTCATGACAATGTAAATCGGAGTGGTCTACTTAGATTAATAAGACGAAGCCCAAATTAAGAACTTAGTTTCAAAATACGTGTTAAATTTATATTTGAAGGTTGCCAGACTATGTAAATGACTTATGAATTGTTTGCATGCGGATTGATTGTCTTTGATGTTCCTAATTTAGCATAAATTGCGCAGCCGAAAAATTCTAAAGTGTTTTCACTTACTCTGTAAAATAAAATCAAATAAATTTTTCTCATGCCACACTTAAGGAGTGGAGCAGGGAGTACTGTAAAAGTTGTATAAATAAAAACCGCAAACGCTTAAGTGAAATGAATTTTATTAAATTGAAATGAAAGCAAAACGACTTTTGCTATCTTCATATGTATGTATATTTGATTTTGTGGCTCTGTCTTGCGTATTTATTTGATAGAATGAACACAAAGAATGTGAGGGAGGGAGAGGGGGAATGAGAGAGTGAAAGAATAAGGAGAGGAGAGCCACAAATCAAGTTGTTGCTACCCAAAATACTGGGGATGCCATAGACAAGGCAAGCGACATTTTAAGATGCTTTTAGCGTTGCATATTTAAATGAGCCGCTGTCAGGCGAAAAGAAATCATAAGTGGAAATCTAATAATCAGGCCGCAAGTAATGCCTGCAACTGTCCGCATAGAGAGAGATAATCAAATCAAATAAGCTCAGCCAATCGTTGCATAAATTTATGACATATGCAAAAGGCAAATGTGCGACAAGACGAGTCCTCACCGAGGGCAGAGTCCTGTCTTCCTACCAACTAGCTAGGTAATTCCATTATGAGGCAATCGCATTTCAAATGTGTCCAGCACAACAACAACAACAACGATGAAGACTTTATATCTATAACATGTTATGTGTGTATGTGGAAAGTGCAGGAGCCCTGTCCAGTTGGCAGCGTTTGGATGAGGGAAAAACTGAAACTAATTTTCCACTTTGCAGCACAATTTAAGCCAATAATTTGACCGGAGCTTTAAATTCAAGCTGCACAACTTTAGTCCAAGAAAATTGGTATCGAGTAATTGCTGCTGCAATATCCATAAGACATTTCATTTCCCTCTTTAAACTTTAGGTATCCTAATTTTTTTAAGCTTTCATTTGATAAATAGATTTTTTTTTTTAACTGCAACATTAAATCATTTCAACTAAAAGCCTCGTCATCGTTTGTACTTGATTTTAATGAAAATTGTAAAAAGTAATTAATATGAAGACAAGATTTAATAGGCGCTATGGACGAACCAACGGGTGCAAAAGCTGGTTAAAATTTCATAAATTGTGCAGAAAATATGTTGCAGTCTCCGACACTCAAAAAAAAAAGAACGAAGACTTATTCACACAGACAAGATGGGAAACGATTTTGGCTGTATGTGGAGCAGAAGACAAGCTGCGTTTTACACTGAAATGTATGAGGAATGAAATTTTTGTGGCGATGCTAACACACACGGACACACGCATAGGGACATCAATGTCAGGGCAAATAACAAGGAAGGCAATCGCAAGCAGGGCTGGGAAATTGGTAGCTGGGTAACTGCAAATAGGAAAGTGGGAATAGGGGTTGTCAGGAACGTCGCTGCGTTGGCACCAATTTTGGCGTTTCCTGCAGTCACTCGACTGATTTAAAATGTTACCGTTATTTATACACGTAGCCAGGCTATATAAACAGCAGGAGCTGCTCCCCCGTGCGCTATGTATGCGTGTCTGTGTGTGTGTACATATATGTGTGTGTGTGTGTGTGCGAGTAACATTTTTGCACATTTTTCATCGTTTACTGTGGACGGCAAGGCTGTAGCTGCAGCTCGACAGCATCGTGCAACTGACTGACTTGCGACTTGGCAGTAACAAAAACAGTAACTAAAACAACAACAACAGCTGCGCCTTCTCGCTACACCCTCTCTCTTGCTCAGTCTCTCTCTCTCTCTCTTTCTCTCTCTCATTCACTATATCTTACTCGCTCACTCAGACCAGCCGTGCGCTGTCAAAAGAGATTTTTTAAAATTAACTTTTCATATATTTATGTATGTTTAAATATGAGCTCAACGTCTTTGTCGGTTTGCAACAACGGTTTATATATATATATATATATATATATTCTATATATATATATATGTATTTATTTTCATATATTATATATTTTTATATAAAACCGTCTTACTTTATATAAAGTGTTGGCTTCCCAGTGTGTTCTTCAATTTGTTATTTTCTCTTCCGCAGCGTTCTGGCGTCTGAATGAATGTGTCATAAGCTTTTCAGCTATAGAAAATATTACACGCTTCATTCTAAGTTCCAGTTGGGCAGATACCCTGCATACAAAAACTACACCAATTGCTCACCTTAATCACAGATAACCACATTTGGGAGAATGAAAAAAACTTAGTGGCGGCTTTATGAGCTTTGCCCAGCTAGTTGTTTTTGCCCATTTTATTTTTCCAGGGTATATAAGTGTGAGGTACATTTACTTGAAGAACTTAATCACTATGATTGAAACAATCTTAAGTGCTACAAGGCAATTCTAAAATTAAAATATGATTTATTTTAATGAAACAATAATTATGCACAACTTGATCATGACTTTCTAATCCAACAAAATGAAAAAAGCCGACGAAGCTTGCACCAGAGCAAATTCAGTCAACAAAATGTATAAGGAAAAAAATCAACCAAAGCTGACATTTGTGCCTTGCAGAAATTCAACATTGTGTTGTCCTTTTATTTTGTTTTTGATGCTTTAGTGGTGTTATTTTTTGTCGTTGCCGTCCCTCATGCATTTTTAAAGCGCTTAACAAAATTTCAGCCATAAATATTTGATAATGCGCTTGGCATGCGCCAAAAGTTTGGACATTATATGGGTTGACTGTTGCCACAAAGTTGCTAACTTATAGCAAATTAAGAGAATTTATAAGCTGGAAAAATCTGTTTTAATTATCTAGTCTAACTGCGTGGGATGGCAGTCATCTGGAAAATGTTAACTTTATATTTGGTGACTAAAACACTGTACAAAATGCGCTTTGTTGTAATTTGTTAAATTATAATTACAATAAGTAATCATTGGTATAATCGCGATGATATACCTATACGATAATTACACAATAAAGATATAAATAATCTAAAACTTGACTAATTGTTATTAATAATTTAAAACTTGACCAATGTTTCAGTGGGAACAATAAGACTCAGTAGTCAAATGTTGATAGTTTCTTTGTTGATAAAAACAAATTTCTAAACCTGTTTCGACTGTGACTTAAAGCCAATCACCTTATCCATTCCAAATATGTAATATATAAAATATGTACTATTACTTACAACACAATACTTTGTTTTTGACGGTTAATTTTTTCAGCAAATTTCTTATAAACGATGTACTCCATGTAAGTAGGAGTAATTGTACCGACGATCTATGGAATAAAATTGAACAAAACATATCGCAGATCCCGTTACTCAAAAATCCCGCTTCAGCGTATTGGTCATCTTACCAAAATAGGCAATCTACACAAATATGTTCGGCCGTTTGTACTTAGTACTGTGCACTACTCGAAGTCCAAAGGAAGCGACTGTGATAAAAAACCTTTTAAGGGAAACAAAGAACTTCTAAATCGAAAAGAAAAGAAAGCGCCCAAATTCGAGATGAAAATCATGCCTGTCTCATATCAGAATCTCAGCTACGAAGAGCTTAATATGAAGCTGGGTCGCGAACTGTCGCCCCATCTGACAATCTATAAGATACAGTTGACATCAGCGATGTCCATCCTTCTGCGCATAAGTGGATTCGTCTTGGGCATGGGGTTCTGGGCAATTGGTTTGATGGGCTTGTTCTGTAATATGGATATCAATGAACTTGCCACAAAGATTGAGGAATTCGAGTTGAGTAAGAATTTCCTTAGTTTTCTCAAGTTTATTATAATTCTACCCTTTGCGTACCATATGGTGGTTGGTACGCGCCACCTTATATTTTATTTGAACGTGTTTCTCAGCAAGAAAGGAATTTATGCAACTGGCTATGCTGCCTTGGCAATGACCCTAATTGTGGCAGCTGCCTTGACTGGCATCAATCTTGAGAACGAAATGGAAGACCTTTGTGAAGTATCAAATGTTGGACAACTCGGAGCGGAAGTGCAGAGCTTGGTGAATGAGAAGAGTGATGAATAAGTAAAGAAGGAGATGAATTCTGATTAACAAGCCTTAAAGCTGACAACAATTGTGTTATTTACAAAATTTACCGACTGGCTTTCAGTTTTATAAATGTGATACTAATATTGTTTGATGGTTCTTCAATTCTTCAAATTGTGTATAAAACTAAACTACACGCCAGTAAATAAAATATATAAAATCAAATACATATATTTTTTCATTAACACAAAACTAGAGTGAGTATGCGCTTGACAGTTAGTTTACAACTCCGAATATTGTGTAAAATGTATATAACTTGTACACTTTGCAACTAAATATAAACTCTTCGTTACTGCAAATAATACATAAGAGGGAAGGTAAACAAGCATTAAATGACAGCAATTAAGCGCACCCACTTCTAAGCGCACCATCAAAGCATTCCTTGGTATAAGTCCGAAAATAAAATGATAATTTAATTTAATAGAAAAATCACAAAAATGTTTTTGATAGCATGAGACACTGAAATGTTAAATTGGAGCTGAACATTGAAGTGCTCGGAACTCAGAGCATAGTGGGGAAAGCCATTAAGTTTATTAAGAAGCTTTAATTAGTTTATAGGAAACTGCCCACGAACGAGAAGAAAAACGTGTCTACATTTCATTAATTACCGAGCTGTCAGGGCAACCGACGACCACTTTAAGACTGTGCTTACCTTTTGATGGGCCCCTCCGGGCACAAAATCCTAACAACAATAACAATGAAGCCAGCATTTGGGTATGGAGGGAGGAACTCAATTGTGAGTCGATGGTTTTGATTGAACACTCGCATCTTAAGTTTTGACGTTAATCTTTGATTAGGGAATGGGCGGCGTCAGTTTTGCTGACACTTCATTATGCGATTTTAATATGAATATTTATAAAATATATAAAATTCAGCAATGCCACGAGCTGATTTAATCTTATTTTGCTGCGAAACGTTTGATCTTAATTAGTGTACTTGAATGTTCGTCCATTGAATCGAGTGTCGGCTTTGCATCAGCATCAGCATCAGCATCAACATCAGCATCAGCGAAAATGACAAAATGTCGCAAATCACCAATGGGCCAGCCTCCTCTGTGGGGCAGTGGGTTTTTAGATTGGGGAGCCGCCCTCTCGGTTGATTGGCAGTTGTGCTTCTTGCCTGCTCTTGGCCTGATTGCCATTGCTGCTACTTGCGCTTTTGGTCTAAGCGGATTTTATTCGCATATTAATTGAAGTTTACACAGCGATAAAAGCAGTCGGCCCAGGCCATAATTAAATAGAGTTCGGCTTGTTAATGTCGCACACACTTTTGCCGCAGTGTAGAAACAGTCACGAGCCAGCCGCGTCAAATTGTCAAACAGGCACCAAACTTTAGTGTGAGGCAAATATTTTTCAATTAAAATGGCTGCTCGGCTATTTGCTCAGCACTTTGGCTGCGTGCATAAAAATTTAGTGGTCTCATAGTTGGTCAGCGCTATCGAATGAGAGCCCAAGAAATACTTACCATGATGAGCATTTATAGATACATTGCTGCGATTTACCCCATAAGAAGTTAATCAAGGTAAGGCTATAAGAAATTTAATTAAAAGTTGGAAAAAATTGATTCGATAGATGAAAAACCCAAACACAATGGAGTGAAATACTTAATGGAAGTGGCTAATGGCGACTTTAAAAGCGCTTATTGAACAATTTACATAAATACTTTGAATAGCTTTGTTTCTTTTTTCGATATTAATTAAGATAAGTTGCCGTGGCATAGTCATTAAAAATATAGTGAATATCACACACCTTTTAATAAGTAAATAATACATACATGCAGGGCCAACAACATATTCTCTGTGCAGTCTTCATTTAGTTGTGCACTAATTAAATAAACCGTTTAACACTTGAGCACGCAGACAGCAGACCAGCAAATAAAATTAAGCATACGCCAGGTAATGCACTGCAATTTGTACGTAAATACCTAGCAGTGCTCGTCGCTATAATTACCTTAAACTTTTCAAACACATACATGTTTACGTGTGTGTGTGTGTGTGTGTGTATAATTATGTAGGTATGCCTTTAATTTTGCTTAACTCGAAGCCAAATCGACGCTTAACTTTTTGAGTAGCCACCACAAACCAAAGAGAACTGCAGAGATAGAAAACAAAACTAAACCAAAATGCTGGAAACAGAGCGGCTCTTCTGCCAACTGTCGATAATTAGCAACAAAAGTTTTAACTTGGCTATTAACACGCATTTGCTGCATAATGGGCCTGTCTGGCATACATTTTGTACTTGGCTATGGATTTACCAATGGCTTACCTTTCGGGCTCCATTTGGCTTGGCCACGTGGCGCATTAACTCAAATGTCTGGGCAATAAAGCAATCTTAGCTTGGCTTGGCTTCGGCTAAAACTCTCGCCCACCACCTACCCACACCGCTTGAACTTGATGGGCAACATTTTCAACAATTGGCACAACAATTGCCGCACACTTGACTGGCGCTGAGTGTTCCATAATTAAAGCTGAATAAAATCCGAAGAGGTCACGACTAGGAAATACCCAGTCCTACCATACACATAATGAATGTGGATTCAAGTGCGTGTGTCTTTTCTTCTTTAAAAAATTAAATTATAAAATACGTAACTTTATTCGCTTGAATATATCTGCCTCTCGCTGCTAAATACGTATGCTCAACTTCATGATTTCCTTTTAGTCCATTCATAATACTTACAGGGTAAATAAAAAGAGCAAACCTCAAGTGGAGCCTTGAACTCATTTCGTGACTGTGGCTGTGGCTGCATTGCGTGTAGCAGCTTTTGGCAGCACGGCCAAGTTGCAGCCACAATTGTTGCACGCACAGTTCCAGTCAAGTAGAAAAATTGGTTGGGGGCGTGGCCAGCCCCATATACATACATATATTTGCACAGTAGGCGCTTGCACACATTTTAACTTCATATTTATGAATCCTGTACACGGTTGGGGCTGGGCCACTTTTGCATGGCCTCTAATTACCTTTTTGGCTTGGCGTGTACGACCAACTTTTTGGCCTGATAATTTCTTAATACTGAACCCTCTTGATTGCACTTGTGCCACTAGCCAGCTGCGCGCAGCACTTTTTGAGCACTTCTTGAACTTGAACAGCTTCATTAGCCCACTGATTTACAATTGATAACAGCAATTGAATGTGATTTGCAAAGTTTCACGCTCAACCGATTTAGAAGAAGATGTCACTGCTACTAAACTAAAAGTTACGTTTAAACTGAGGGAACCCTTAATGTTCTACCAAAAGCCCATAATGGCTCGGTCATTGGCTCTGCAGTCATTCAATAATTTCCAGTTTCAATATAAAAAGAAACCTTTTACTTGCAATGTATTTGTCATGGGACAACCAGCCAAAGCATGGAAAATGCTGGCCCTGACGTTTAAATTACCAATTTTGTGTAAACTTTTTTCAAGAACTTGCAAAGGCTGTGTACTGCTTCATTCGAGAGGAAATGTCGCTCTCGTTCTGCACTTGGCCAATTCGAAGTGGACGGCCACTTTTGTCGGGGCAGCAATTGAAACGCTCCAATTGCACATGTCAATTGGACTGCTGCAGACATAAATCAATAGCTCTCCAACGGCAACGGCAACGCCATTTGCAAAACCACAACATGTCAGCCTTAAAAATGAGCCGCTGCAGCTGTTTCCGCTGCCCATTAAGGAATGTGTCCGTTTTGTCAGCAGCCCGAATCCGCCAGGGCTCCGGCCAAATAAGTAATTGCATTAAAGCCAGAAAAATTGCAGGTAGTTAAACTGGTAACTGGCAATTGGCAATTGCCAGCTGCTAGCGCTGGCTGCAGACTGCCACTGTCGTGTCTAATTGAATTTTTCAACGCCTCCCTCATTTATTAATCCGATTTCAATCGACTTGGAAGTCCCAGGTGTAGCATTGCATTTCCCACCGAATTAATGAGATTCATTAGCTGCATTTAGATTGCAATCACTGAACCAGACAACGTTAAATTGTAAACAAAAGTCCTTAATAGCAGTTATGAAGAAAAAGTGCCGAAAGCGCATCCAGCTTTTTATTTAGGTCATCATTTCCGGGCATATAAATTCCAATTCTCAATTTACAGAGACCTTAAATATATAGTTAGCACTTTTATACATAGTTTAAATATTTGAAAATTATTTACATACTTACAAAATTAATTTAATGATTCAGCAAAGTGAGAAGTGACTTTAAAATGTATTTGATATAAATATAATGCATGCCAAACTCTAAAATATTCATAAGCTAAAAACCTCAAACATGAGAATTAAAATTTGTCTCGTCCTGTAATAATATGCAAAGTATTTATTGATATTAAATATTCGCAAGTTAAGGTGAAGAAAAATTTAATCTATTTTCTATTTTGCAAATAGGATGCCTTAATAAAATCAATGTGAACATTTAGTTATGTTCGGCAAAATAAAATAATTGTATCTTCTTAGACTAAAAACTGATTAACTATGAGAGAGAAGCAAGCACAAAGGAATTCGTACATTTCCCCATATGCGCCACGCCCATGGCAGGCACGATCTATAAATTGGGTCAAATATTTCAGCTTGGATTTTTTGGTTGTTCCTGCCTTTTAATTAGCATGTTTATTTGACTTTGTCTGTACGAGTGAGAGCACAAAGTTTGCTGAGCTCAGAGGTTGAGGCTCAGTCTGATGGGCTGAGTGCTACAGGGCGTACGAGGCGTATGTTTAATTTCTGGTTTTGTGTGTGTGTTCCAAACTGCTTGTGAGTTGAGTGTTGATTAAACAAATTGCAAATGAGTTTGTGCTTTTTTTTGTTGTTGTTGTTGTTCATGTTGTTGTGTTGCTCTGTTGCTGCTGAGTTTGTCTAAATAAACAAACAAAGCTTTGGGTAAGACATGCACTTGAATAAACTCTTATAAAACTAAATAAATACTCGCACATAAAAGGGAAGTGGAGCTAAATGTAAAAATAAAAAGCAACTGCTGACAGAAGGCGTGTCTCTCTTTCGTCCTTTACCTCTCTATCTGTGAGTGTGTGTGCGTGACAGTGAGTTATTTAAGAAATGCAATTTCAATTAAATATGCAAAATACTCAAAGTCTAATTTAGACAGCAACCCATTTGAGCTAGTCGCTTTGCCTGGCTTTGCCTCGCAACTGCCATTTTGTTGCCAAAACTAGAAGCTGCAGTACGCAGATACTTAAGTATTTATATG